TAATCTTACATAAAAGCACAACAACCCATTGCCTGTTCACTGCAGTGCAAGAAATTCAGAGAGGACTTGGCTGGGACTAGTCTGACATCTACTGGCAGGAAATCAGCAGTGCACGGTACCCATACAGGTCCACCGTTATGTGATGAATAGAAGAACGAGGATGTAAAGCTTAATAATATGAGTTTATATGCCTATTCTAACATCTTATATCGACAATTCATGCGTTTAACAACGTGTAAGACACATCAAAAATTTCCATCGGTTCCTCAATCTAAGCTGACGAAAAGGCACTGGGTCACTAATGAATGATTAACATTTATTGGTCACTCATTTCAGTAATACCCTCAGTTGGTTTCGTGCCGTCACCTGCTGGTGTAGTTTAATCTTTCATATAGTCAAATGATCAGGAGTCATTGTTTTTCCCTGACGTCCCTCTTGGTCATCGCTGTGGCCTGCGATTGGTCGCTGCGAGCAACGGCCAGCTCCTCAGCCAATCAGGTGGCTCCGCTGCCCCTCCGGCACTCCCCGAGCCCTTCGACACGACGTCACGTCCAAGCGAACGCGACACGCACTGAGTTTCAGTGGAAGGGTCGCATATTGCGGTACAAAATAGTCCCAAACACCGAAGAGCGACGGAGTTCCCTGGCCCCGCAGACGTCGCCGCTATTTACTAAACACCGGGATAGCGTTTGTTTTAAAGGTAGGCGGTGCAGACGGGTCCGTAACTTTTTTGTGTTAATGTGATAATGAGCATAGTCACTGTGAAGTTCGGGGGGAGGGAAGCCGAACGTTGGTGGACCGGTTGTGGCCTGCAGGTGCTTCTTAGGTTTGGTTTATTTTAACGGTTGCGTATTTCTGCCATTTTTATCATCTTCGCCTAATTATTCTTGTGCTTATTAATATCAGCACTAATATTAGCAGGTTGATTGTACTAACAAAAGCCCATATTTAGCTAACAACAAAGTAGCGCTAGCTTAAAATCAGTTTTCTGTTGTGAGGCTAAACGTCCCTCAGGTTTGTAGGATTCCTGTACTGGAAAAATACTAAATATTTTCTTCTATCAGATGTCTTCACTTAGCTTTTGTTTGCCCTAAGTGGCTGTTTGTGTGAGCTAACTTGTGGTTCTGGTTTCTTTCTAATTGGGTCCAATGGGGTGTCTTCACCTACTCCCAGCCTTATCTCGTGATGTCTCTAGACATGGAGCTGCCAGGCTACAGAGCTGCTTTGTCACACGGATAACTCAGCTTGTGTGCACATAGTTTCGATATAATGAGCCTCTTTCAGCTTAAACCCAGTCAGTAGAAACCTGATTTTATTGCTGCCCTGTAGGTCATCATTTTAGGGACTAAAACTGAGTGTTTATTGTGTGAACAGGTAATCCTACTCCTGGACACGTTGCTTTAACGTTGACAAAACTGGTACATTGCCTGCGTAAATTTCAATTTGAATAAGTAAAATAGGAGTTTTTTTAAATTCATATTTGTCCTCCCAGTATCCTGTCAGGTCATTGTACGTGTAATTTATTATCAGGATATTAGCATTTGTATGTTAACAATGGGGGGAACTTCTACTGGACTTCTTTGACCAACGTGATTTGCATGGCAATTGCGTGTTCTTTAGTACATTGTGCCCTTATGTGTCTATTATGTAACATGCATCTATCTATCTATCTATCTATCTATCTATCTATCTATCTATCTATCTATCTGACAAAACATGTACACTACCTGTCTAAATTTCTATCCGAATAAATAAAATAGAAGCTTCTTTGTTCATATTTGTTTTCCCAGTATTCTGTCAGGTCATTATACATGTAATTTCAGGATATTTGTAGGTTAACAATGGCTATTGTATTACTAGGGGGGACTTCTACAGCACATAACTTAAAAATGACAAAACTGGTGCATTGCCTGTGAACATTTCTATGCTGGTGAATAGAAGCTTCTTTGTTCATATTTGTTCTCCCAGTATCCTGTCAGGTCATATAGTTTATAATCAAGACAGTGGCATTACAAGCTTCAAGATGGCTATTGTGATAATAGCGAGTACTTCTACTGGACATATTACTTTAAAGCTGACAAAACAAGTACATTGCCTGCGTAAATTTCTATCTGAATACAGTTAATTTCTTTGTTCGCGTTTGTTTTCCCAGTATACTGTCAGGTCATTGGACTTAGAACTTATTATCAGGATAAATTTGGCATTTATACCGTGGCAACCGCAGTGTTAAACTATATAAAGGGTAATTTAGATTTGAATTTCCTTAGTCAACAGCAATAATGCTTTGATTGAGGTTTAGAACTTCCACCCAGCTGTGTTTTTCTTTTTCAAAATAATAGATGGTTAAATGCTGCTATTATAATAACACATTAGTTTGTGAACTGACAATGCCTGTTTTTTTTTCTTTGTCAGTATCGGCTGTGCTTTTAAGTTTAGAGGGACCTAATGGATTGAGAAAGGTCTCAGGTGACCTGTTCATGTGTGTGCCTGTATGTGATATTATCATCACGATATTGTTGTGGAAACACTGGCTGAGCTCACTCGCTTCTTTCTGCGGTTCAACAGGGGAAAAACAAATGACACGCAGGAAAACTGACATACGGCCACGAAGCCAAGACACACCGAGCGAGCCTACATACGTGTCAACATGCGTCAAGAGCTGTGAATCGTTTATCGTCAAAACCTAATCTGAAAGCAAAGTCTAGGGTGCGTTTATGTGGGCACAATAAAAGTACAGCAACCTCCTAAGTGAGTGTTGATGGTATAGGTAGACATCCTTAGTGGTGTCAGATTGCTCATTATTTGTAAAGTCCCTTTGAAAGAAACCCCTTTCTTAGCCTTCAGTCAGTAATCTAACACTATAGACGAAGCCTAACTTTTAACAGGGAGAAAGAGCGCTCTAATAATAGACCTGTTTCTCATCAGGCATTCTGGTAGTCATAGCACAGTGAGGACAGGTGCAATGAAAACATTAAAACCGCCTGTATTCCATTAGGTGAGCCAGTTCCAGGGTTGCGGTATTGTGCGCGCTGGCTTACAGGCGTGACAAAAACAAATCACCAGGGATCGTTCAGTTCCTCCTGGAGCACAGTAACCATAGTTACAGAGGCCGTGTCATCTGTCAGTAGCTTTAAGAGCACATTCAGGTGGGGAAATGTCCAGGTGAAAATGTCATTTGGAAAAACACCACACAGAGAAGCTTATTTGTGCATTAACAGTTGTATTACTTCCATTTCCTCCGTGGCTTGTTTAATCTTAACAGTCTCACAGTATTTAGAAATTAGTAGAAATGTACTTTCTTATCCTCAGGTATTACAATACCCAAGAGCCACGAATAAACCTGCTACAAATGTAATTAAGCAATTAGAGATACTTTGAATTCAATAAATTCAACATAATTTTTTAGATAACAAGTACAGATACAGGAATTAGCGAGTGCAATTGTGCTTACAAGTTGAGCTAAAACTCTAGATGCAATTCAGCTCGCAGTTCCAGCGACTGTTTTTATTTTAGACCGAAGATTGGACGTGGATGGAGAGGATGAGCAGTAAGGATGTTTGCAGTGTAAATGAACAACATGACAAAGGAACCCTGTGAGGCCAAGCACAGTTGCTGTTCTCCATCTGGCCCACTTTCCGTTGTTATGGTTGTTCTGCATGAGCAAATCCAATGATGAAGGCTAGCATGGGGGTTTGTGATGGGCCCGGATCTACTTTATCAGAAGCCATTAGTGTGTTTGGGAAATGTACTTCCTTCTCACGAGGAGTAGAGTGGAATAATAACTTGTAGATACTAATACTAATCATGAACAATATCTCTGCTACGTGGCTGGATGTCAGTTTGCACGTGTCATTTGTTTTACCACAGTAATCAGTGAGTGATGCTTTCAGAATGAACTAAAGATTAAAAAGCAGTGACTGTATAGACAACAGTATTAAAAGTAATGGTGTCTCGATTCTTATTTCTGCTAGTTTCTCACAACATGAATGTGTGATCTAGTACGTCACGTTTGTTTGTTTCTGAGTGAGAAGGAAAACTAAGTGTGAAAGTACAACCGGTACAGGCCTGCGTGGCCACAGCAATCTCTTTCTCCCTTTCTCTATCCTATGGCTCATTTCATTAGCCTCACCCTTCACACAGTGGAGCTGGCTTCTCTATTTGTAAAGTCTCTGTGTGAACAGTAAGATAATAGTGCTTATCTCTGATGGAGTTGATGTGGGCTGTGAATGACCACTGAATTGTAAGACACCCTGTGCAAACATTCAAATATCGTTCTGCGCTTGTCTTTCCTGTGTGACTGTGGAGATCGTGGTTGTTTGCAGTGTGAGTCTGCAGAAGCATAAAATGGCAAAAGACAGGTTTTAGGATTAGGAGGATCAACTACATGATGTATACTTTTCTCTCTTGGGTAGTAGTTGCATAATTTTTATACCTGTCTGAAAATGGGATGTTTTATCAGGACTCAGGGGATTTGTTACCTACCTGACTCTAGAGGCTACTCAACCATCTTGAGAGGGAACTAAAAGGGAGGCAGGGTGTAAAGAGAGGGGTGAGGAGATGAAAAGGGGGAATGAATTCTAGGTGGAAAAGAGCAATGAAGCAAGTTAGGAGAGATTTGCTCAAATTTAGAGATCGGTCTTTGAGAAAGAGCCAGAGGATAATTTAACTACCCCGAAATGTCTCTACTTCTGTTTGTGTAGTAGGAAAATCACTATCTATCGAGTCATGTCGAGTAGTATTATTAAGGCCTAGATGTAAACAGATCTTTTTTCTATACTTATATATGTGACTAGTCATTTCACAGCATGTAAATGGTCTTCTTTTCTAACCTATTGAAGAGGTTAAAATGCGTATTTCTATTGTTATGTTTAGACAAAGGTTCAGTTTACCCAAGTGTGCACACAAGGTTTTTAGAGCTCTTTAACTGGTAACACATTCTCAGCCACTGAGTTAATCTACAGCCTCGTCAGGTGTGGCTTTAAAGGACAATAATCAGATAGTAGGACTTGTACACAGACACTCCTTTGTCCAGTGACTATAAAATGCCATCCTGAAATGCAGCTTTATTTCCATGACACGATGCCACACATGACAAGAGAAACAAGAGGATTAGCCATGGACATGTTAGCTGCTGGCACATCAGTTAAGGATGTAGTCAGGCGCTTGAATGTCAGCAAATCCACTATTTGTTGTCGAAGAAATTCTTTCAGACGGCATGGTATGACAGACAATTTTCCCATGAAGAACTCTCGATGGACTTTTGAATGAATGGGAACTCGTGAATTACACAATTCAGTTCCTCGAAATGTCCGGGAACAGTGGGACATTTCACAAGCCAGCGTCAACAGCCTCATTAAGGCTAAGTGACACAAATGTGTGACTCAGTGCTGACATGTGATTTCTGGTCTATGAGCACACTATCAAATTGCCTCTTATCATTTAGAATATAGTTTGCCCTTGGTTATTTCATGACATCCATTCTGTTGTAGAGATGTTAGAGCAACAGATAATTATTAGGGAGATAGAGGACAGAGTTTAAAGAAATATTACATGGTGCAGTTATATTTTTGTTTCGTATGTGTCCTTCTACTGGTATTTCTGCATAAATCAGGGCTCCAGACTCACTTTTTCCACTGGTAGCACCGGTGCGACCACCTTTCTCATTACAGGCTGTGGTAGATGCTGTTAGGTGGCTGTGGTGTGCTCGGACAGGTGTGTGACCAAAAATGATTTTGAAAAGAGTGGACTAGGGTGTTGTAATGTCAGATCTCTCTCTGCCTGCCTCCCTCCTCTTCCCTCATTTAAAAATAAAGACCACTTTACCTTTTAACACACAGCTTGTTTGAGCCACCAGGCAGATACAGACCGACAGAGCCACGGAAGTTATAAAAGTACTACTTTCCACCACTATGGTTTAACACAGTTGCTGCCTGCGGTTACAGCGACACCAATACAGCCTCGTGATCATCATGCACTCACACCAATGTGACCAGTTGAAATTTCTACTCACACACTCTCAAAAAGAGGTCACAAATGTGACCCCCTTTGGTCGCGGTCTGGAGCCCTGACAAACGCAGAAAAAAACAACGTGTGCTCATTTCAGAAATGTGATATTTGATGTTTTGTAGCTGGTTGACTAGCAAAATGTTCAATTTGTTAAACACTAATAGCAGCATAGATGAAATAGGTTTGAATCCATGTGTCTTCAGTGTGTCCACAGACAAGAAAAGTGCCAATATTTATATTATCAATCCTGTCTTTCTAATTTCCATAGTGACTGTTCAACCCCAAGATGAACTTCGAGCAGCCCCCTCCATACCCAGGCAATGGCCCAACTGCTCCAGGCTACCCAGCCCAACAAGGCTACCCACCTCAGGGTTATCCTGCACAGGGATACCCTGTGAACATGGAGCAGCCTAATCCAGCATACCCTAACTACCCTGCAGGACCAATGGGCCCTGGAGGTCCTTATCCTGGCCCAGGACAGCCTCCTTATCAGGGCTACCCTGGACAACCACAGTTTGGCTGGCAGGGTGGACCCCCTCCTGGACCTATGTATGGAGAGCCTCCTAAGAACACAGGTGAGTGGTCACACTCAACACGTATGGGTGGAAAATGTTGTAGTATTCATAGGGATGTAAGACCAGAATGGCTGGAACACCACTGACGGTATGAGAAGAGTTTTGCTGAATGACTTGTGCACTGGAAATAGGCTGCAGGGCTGCATTGACAGATTCTCCCCAGACTGCTGTGACCTGCAAGGCGAGAGTCACGTGACACAGCTGAGTTAGCACTACCACTAGTGAGCTAACCTGCTTGCATGTTTACTGTCAGGAGACCAGTAAAGCTGACTTTGTTATTTATGCTTTAAAATGTTCCAGTGGAAACAATTCAGTACGTAATGATTACTGAAAATAACATTTGTTGTCTCTCACCACAGCCGGTTTGAGCTGTGCCCTGTTATTATCCTGTTTCCTCCAGTTTGAATCACAATGTGCAACATCTAAATAGAGGTGAAAGAATTAGGAAATGCAGGTTAATTAAAAAGTTTAAAGATGTTTTTCCTTTGTCATACAGACACTCACAACATTTTCTGGAACAGTTGCACCGCATATGCACTTCTTTACCTTCTGTTAGTGTTGAGAATTAATCTATCAGCTTCCTCCATTGGTTAAGTGACCTTTGCTTTGCAGATTCTAGCAGTTGGTTAAGCCTTTTTTTTTATCAGGCCTTTTTCCCTGATGTAATTTGATAAGTCACAGTAGGAGAAGCTCAGGTAAATAATAAAACTAATGAGACTCACTTCCATTTAGCTGCTTAGGTTTCGGAAAATCCTTACAATCCTCACAGCTGGAGCGAAGATATTTTGCATCTTGCTTGAAAAACAACCTAATTAATGGTTTATTAAAGTAGCTGTTATTGAGTCTAATCAGTTCACCGGTAAATTGTTGCAGCTCTGTCTGGAACTGGAAAATGTTCAAACTTTTATTATACAGAATAAGCAATTAAGGATTCAAAAGTGTGAAGTCAAGCCAGGTTTAAGATAAAAGGTGTGTAAATGCAGCAGCAACTCCCAACTGAGCATCCAATAAACTGTAGCACAAGCTGTGAAACACACAACAACAAAAAAAACCTCACCACATTGTAAAATATTCAAAATGAATATGCAAAGAGAACAGCCTTTTGCAGAGAACGTAGTTAACACCTTGATGTTTAAAAGCAGGCGGCGAGGTGTTACTGCTCTTGTAGCTGACTTAAGATAAGCTTCTCCTGGTTTGATCAAAGGTAAATGTTCTGCTGTGAGATTCTTGCTGAGTCATTTTGATAGCGCTGTTTATTTTTTTAAATATTAGCCAATCATTAATCACTTCTTTGTTGTTTTTTTTTGTTTTTTTTTTTTGCTATCAGTATTCACGTTGATGGTTAGGTATGGTCATGGAGAGCTGCCTTCACTTTGTCTACTGACCAGGATCAGGTCACCTTGGTAACATGTCACACAGTCTGTTAAGAGCTGGATGAGTGTTTGCCTCCACATGAATGATTAATGGCAACACGAGGAAGGGGAGATGCATTCATTCAGGCCTGTTGTTTGACTTGTGTTTTGTTCTGTTGGCTGGAACAGCTGTTAAACCTCACGTATGGGTAGCAGATGTTTAATTTAGATGCATCGACTAGAGGTGATATAAAGCCACTGCTAGACATGTTAAGTAAAAGGAGATGTCTTGTTTGGGCATGGAGGAATGTAGTCCTAAAAGATCTCATTTTATCTGCCCAGTGATACCTCTAAGCAGCGCTAATGCTACTCAACTGTAATGCTGTCTGATCATGGCTCTGGGCTGCCATGGTATTACCATGGAGATGTGCCTCCCATGATGAACGTAATTAGAGGAAAATCATATCAGCCGCGGTTACACTTGAACTCACTGCTGAGAGAGTTGACAGTGTAATTCCCGGAATTATCTCTGGTTTGGTGCAATTTAAGGCAAAGAAATCGCTAATTGCGTTCTTGAAATTTATCTTCCATTCTTTTGCCCTCTCGTCTCTCTCATCTCGTTAACCCTCCCAAACTCTTTTCTTCTCCGGTCTCTGCAGTGTATGTGGTGGAAGACAGGAGAAGGGACGACACAGGAGACACATGCCTGACAGCCTGCTGGACAGCTCTGTGTTGCTGCTGTCTCTGGGACATGCTGACATAACGCTATTCCCCAACTGTTCACCCCCATTACCCTCTTGCCCCCATTTCTGTGCCTCAAACCCCATCGCCTCTCTCCCCCTGTCTGCCTTACTACCCTCCCATTTCCTCTACAAGTCCTGTACTCGTCCGTAAATGAAAGCCTTGATCCCGTATGGAAGCCTCTTCCCAGAGCCACTCACTCTACCTTGATGTGAAGCCCCTCAGCACTGACTGACTGACCTGTTCAGGGTTACGCTGTTGCAGCTTGTAACTGAGCTTCTAAACATAACCTGAATCTCAGGCTCTACACTGAAATTGTGCACCAACACATAACACACACACACGCACGCACATACACACACGCACACACACACACACACACACACACACACACACACGCACACAGTACACTTGGATCTCAGGCTCATCTGGCGTGATGCTCTTTGGCACTTTATGATCATTACCTCTGTAAGATAACACTCCTGCCTGCCCCCCTCAACCATCCACAGCCCTCCTTAACCCTCCCCTCAGCTATGCTCTCTACAATGCCCAAGGACTGCCCCTTATTTCTGGACCCCCCCCCCCCTTCACTCAAAGGCCACCAAGACCCTGGCTGCTAATGAGCCACGGGGTGCTCTTAAGACGCTGATGCTTGAAATGTATCCCTTTAATTTGCACACAAGTTGTTTTTGCAAATGTCTGTTTTCAGGTGGAATCATACGACAATAAATGGAATGCATTTTTAAAGATGACGGTGATTTATGTTTGATTACTGTTAACTCTTGATGGCCGCGATGTCTGTGTTTTTTTTTTTCTTGCTTACCCTGATGTGAAAAAAATGATTCTAATATTATTTTTATTATATACCTTGGAAATAAAACTGAAAATGTGAAAAAAAAAGAAAGAATAAAGGTTGTGATTGCTAAACATACGAAACCAATTTACCCATTAGATGCATTTTGCTTTAGATGAGTCTTGCATTAAAATAATTTATTGCCATAAGGAGAGACTTTGTCGTTTATGTGGTGGATTGCAGCAGTATTGATGTATGTGTGTGTGTTTGTGTGAGTTTACAGCGGAGTATAGATCAGTACTCTGGAGCTGTTGGAGCCTGGCCGGATCCGTTCATCTATTTTTAACACGGCTGCTAGTGCGGGATTTTAGTTGCAACATGTCTGCCTGCAGGATGTGTTGACGCTTTCACATTTGTGAAACTGAAGCATAAGAGGAACAATTTCAATCAAAACTGGGAGTGTGCATTACAGGAAGTCTCATGAAAGTACATTTACTGAAGCACTGCGTAGTTTTGAGGTACAAGTACAATCATAATTAAAGCCGCAAGCGGCGATGGACGGGTCCTCGCCCTAC